TCAAAATTGGTTTTTTTTTTTGTACGTTCAGTAAAGAGAAGAAATTTTACTAATGAAATAAAAATTTCCTTCTGTTTATCATTTTTGTTGCCGTCAATCACATTTATTTTCTCACAATCTTTCGTAGACTCACATTTTTTCAAATATATATAAATATATGTATATATATTTTTATTTACATCTTTACAAATAAACAAGTAAATGAATAAATGAATGAATGAATGAATAAATAAATAAATAAAAAATATATATATATATATATACATTGTGATAATAACGTTAGTTTTCTGGTTGTCACCTTCGGCACCGGGTTGCCTGGTTCGTCCTATTATCGTTTCATATTTCCTTTATGTTGTCTGTGCGATGATCCAAGGGGTGGTTCGTTTTGGCCATAAAGATGAAATAGCAAGGAAACTATGCGAAAATTCCCCGGCCCTGAACACCGACACAGAATCTGTATAGTAAAAAGTTTCTTAAGAATTTATCGCTTCTTCCCCCCTCCCCTCCCCCTTTATCTGTCTTGCCAACATTCTTTTTGTGAAAAATTCTATATATTTTTGACCGATAGTGTTGACAGTGCTACTGATGGCCACTGCAACTTGTTTAAAATATCATCGTACTGTGGTTTTAGAGGTAATAATGATAATGTCAATATGATTAGTAATGATAATAATAAAAAGTAAATTTCACGCGAAATGTCTTTGAAGCATCGTCTCAAGGAATAGTCAACAGTAGTAATCTGAGAGAAAAACTTCGTCAAAATTTAATCTGCAAAGATAGTTTTTTTCTTTTGCTAAACGTCAAAGAGTGAGAAAGAAGGTACGATTAGTTTTATAATTATTTGAAGAAAAGAATGTTGTCTGTATTAGATTAAAATCGGGCAATTTTAAACATTGATTATTTCACGTCTTCTTATACCTTTATTATTGAAAAACCCATTGATTAGTTTTTGATAACAGTTGATACAGCATTTTTTTTTTCTGCTATATTTTGATGTTGATACAAACACTTTGGCTTCATTCAGATAATCGTTGTCGAAAAATGATAATTGGTAGTCTCATATATAATTCATGGCATATTTGTGTTTTTTTTTTTAATCAGTCGAACTTGAGCATTACCGATAATCTGTAGTTATTTTTTTTTTTGCATTACCACTTCAATAAGTTTTTTGGATGTTGTCAGGTTGTATATTACATTTACTGTTATTTTTTCATTTACAAGTTGATTTCCAATTATCAAAATAGTTTTTCAACATTAATTAATCATTTTCATTTCTATTTAATAATATCAACAAACTGTTGAGGTGTATAAAGATTTGGCGTAACAGGAAAGAAATGTCACAGATATAATTAATAAAAATATTTTGGAATTTTAATTACTTTGGAATATAGAATCTGATTAATCATTAAGAAGTTGACCGGTAGAATTATGATGACGATAAGTAACAGCATCACGCAGCTGTATCAGATTTGTGCTTTTTTAAGGCAAGACATTGAATTTTGGCTCACTGTGATAAGATAAGTCATAACTTCTGTTTCATAAACAAATCTATTCTGTGCAGAAAAATTAATACTCTTTGATTTAGTGCTTATATTAGTTTACTTTTTTTTTACGTAGTATATCTGAGCGACATTTCATTGCTGGTAGCTGATGTAAACATTTTTACCTCTCATTAGGCTATATCCGCTTTTGGTTTGAGAATCGTATGACTCAGAAGCTGTTGCATTTCTTGTTCAAAAATTTTTTATATTTTAGCAATAAGCAAAGATATTGAATTGTTTTTGTAAGAACAAATTGTTTAGAATAGTTTTTCAAACTGCATGAAATTACACAGAGAATCTAAAATTATGCGAACA